ATTCCTCATTGACTAGCTACTGCCCATGAAGGACAGTGAGGAAGTTAATGAAGATTTTGGTTTTGCTGCCCCAGGGAAGATCATATTATGTGTATGATAGCACAGTAAGACACATTATGGGCCATGCTGCCGGCTTCTGAGAACCTCATGCAGATCGTGAGTCTTCCCAGAGGACCTGAAGGAGTTCTTTTGTATTTTAAACCCCAACCCAATGAGCAGAAAACCTCAAGTTTTTCAGCCAATAAAACCTAACCATTTAAATAATGAAGGCTAGATTCAGAGTGGGAAAATGGATAACACCAGACAATGTGTACACCAGTCCGTGGTCTTAAGCTGTCTTTTTTTCAACAGGAACCACTGCAGCCAGTTTTGAAACAAACCTACTTCTGTTGTCAACTTTAACTTCAGAGTGTCAATTCATTGCGAAACCGATGGGGACATTCTGCTGACAGGGAGAGGTGAGAGGGAACCTCTCCCAGGGGTCTGCAGGACACCTCCATCCTTTATGCCAAAGTACTTCCACTGATTACCTCGCCTCCAGAGAACTCCAGAAACCAATTTATTTCTTAGGCCAATTAGCTGGGAAGAAATACCTCATGCTGTGTAACATGTTGTGCAGATGTTAATGAGAAAGCCTTATTTAAAACTTCAGTAGATCACTATGGCTGGGCTCCTTCAAAAAGGAGGTTTTGGCATTACCTTAGAATTTCAGAGATTTAGTGAACTAGAGTCAGCTTAGCATTAAGGTGAGACAAATACCAATTCCCTGCACTTCACGCTAATGGTGGTATTAAAACAGAAATGCAATTTTACTTGCAAGAGATGCCCACTGCTCAGCACTGGCAGACAATACAGAGACATGCAGAATTTCTCATTGCTGCGAGTATTGCATGATTTGAAAGTACCCGAATTAAAGTCAGCTTGCTAGAATTTTTTTTTTAAATTCATGCTCGAGGAGAGAAAGAAGAAGAAAAACCTCACAAGCTATAACTTTTAGTCTTTGCATAATGTTTTTTCTGTATTTAAAAAAAAAAAAAAGGGAGAAAAGGCAGGAAAAAAAAATGTAAAAGACATCAAGTATAACAATCCAATGGAGGCACAAGTGGAAACCCAGGGAAGCTTAAGAGGGGGCTTGCCTGATCAATCCAATATGCTTCCCCCTGTCCTCGTCTGGAAAGCCAAATGAAATTCAAACAATGACAAAGTAACACCACACACAACCAGGAACACTCACATTTCATACCACAGGTAAGCAAAGCCGCAACAGTGACTCATCCGTATGAGGAAAAATGAAACTTAAGGTGTGAAGTTACATTAGTAACGTGTGGCAACTCCTACAGCAAAGCTATACACCTTACCTGTACTGTATAAATCTTCTTCAAATTTGATGCACATTCAGCTGCTGTTGTTCCAGGAAGTGACCTTGAAAACAAAGTAGAGATTAATAAAAATGCTTCTTTTATCAAGGGGGTTGAAGGGAGATGGATGGGGAAAGTGAATCACATGAGTGTGAAGCTGAAATATTCACATGTCAAAGTTGCATAATAAACTCAAATTCCAATTGTCATGAATCATTTGAAGATAGGAATTCAAGTGCTTTTATACTTTTGACTAAATTAAGATATTTTATAAAATATTTTGATTAAATAGGTGAATTAGGAGTTTTTATCCAAGAACAACAGTGTTCCTTCTAACGGCCACCCCACCCCCTTCTGCTGTCAGGCATCAGAAGAAGTTCTGCCGTTCCAATGTGAAGGGCTACCAGCGAGGGACCGCAAGCTCCTATCCCAGATTTCTTTTTAATTGCATTTAATATAACCCAGCACCCACTTTGAGCGCTTTAAGATACTCTCGGTATGTCATACTTTTAAAAAGAAGAGTCATCCACTGCGTTTATGTATTGAATGATGATAATTTGCTCGGCAGCCGCCACCCGGAGCACAGCCCATGAAGCGGCAGAGGCGCAGAGCCGCCGGCGGGGGCTTCCCTTGCCCCCCGCGACAGCGCCGCGCTCACGGGACATGGTCACACCTGCGACAAGCTCCTCAGCATCCCTGCGTGGGTGGGACACGCATACGGGCTGATGAGAAGACCAAGCCCCAGAGGACAGCTCTCCCTTCTGGCGCGGTGAGCCATATAACCCAACACACACAGGACACCTCCAAGACTTGAGGCAGCTCTTCCACCACCAGCACTTATTTCTTCAAGCCACATCTACTCCCATAAAGGCAAGAGGTCCTCGGGTTGGTTTCACTGCCAGACCTCAGGATTGCACTGATGTACACCAGGCACAGTTTAGCTTCTCTAGCTCACCCTCATACTGCCTATTCCCAATTCCCATCCGGAGCGGCTCCCCTTAGGCACACACAGCACCAACCGCACCCCATCATCTCAAAGGCCGTTTCCAACCTAAATCATTCTAGGATTCTATTTTTAACCTTCATCACAAATCTTCAGCACGTGCGACACAGGATGGTGCATCCACATCCCCAGACATCACTGGCTCCTGTCACCACGCGAATAGTGCATCATAGCGCCCGTCTTACAATCCCCAGTACACACCCCCACAGGCACAATTTGAGGGGAATAAGGACCAAATTGTTCAGGCTCATTCGATTTGTTAGAACCGGAAACATTCCGCCCCCCCCCTCCAGAAGCTGAAGTAGGATTTCTAAAGAAAAAATGAAGATCAAAGACAAAGCAACCTCCCATTGCATCTCAGAAGAAGAAATAAAAATGTGTAAAATGACTAAATCTGGAAAGGGAAGCGACAGAGCAGATTTAAGGAAACAGAAGAAAAACCAGTTGTTGCTCAGGTACCTGCTGAAGAAAGGATAAGGGCAAACCAGATCTCAGTAACCCTCCCATCAACACGGCTGTTTGTCCTGATACATCTGACCAGCATGAAATATGTCCAGGAAAACACTCAAGTAACTCTCAGTTGTTACAGATGTAATTCAGGCTCTGGAGCAAAAACTAGATATTCACGTAAAGGAAGAAATTTAATATGCAAAACTACTGAAACAGCATCACATCTTCAAAACTGTAATGATAGCTCCAATGTTCTGTGAAGGTTATCAAAATAAGTTACTTTAAAAATACCTATAAAACCAGCAGAGAAATCCCTCCCAACTTTTTCAGTATAGAACAGACAAACTAATGTCGACTTTACTATTTGCCCATTAATCACTAGACATAAGAGTACATTGCAACGGTGGAACTGATGAGAAAACAGTGTTACATGGCCAAATTTCAAAAATCACTTTAACTAGAGGTTATAAAAACAAACAAAAAAACCCCAAGAAATCGCTATGGTGCGGTTTCTAGTCCTGTGGCTCATGAACTATGGAAACACCCACGGGAAAACTGATAACTTGAAAACAACAACAAAAAACCCTTTCATCAATGTGCTCAAAAGGAGTTATTGTAGTAAGGTGGGGGGTTGTTTGGTTTTGTTGGGGGTTTTTTTGTATTGTTTTGTTGTTTGGGTTTTGGGGTTTTTTTTTGCACTCTACACTCAGCATTAAAGAACAAAAATAGGAATTTGCAGTACTTAACACAGACAGATGGCTTTTGAATGCACCAGGAAATAAAAGTAGTAAGTTAAAACAGAAAACTCAGCAGGTGATTTAACTGTGTTTGTCAGTTGGGCGTAGTGGATTTGCAAGAAACCACCGCTTGTTTTTCGCCTGCTGCTGACACAAGTAGCACCTCTCTACTAAGCTTCTTTTCGTATATTATAGAACACAAACAAGCAAAACCTGAGATAACTTTGCCTGTTGGTGCCTCACACCACTGTCCAAGAAACCACTCCTCTTAGGCACTATTTCTGCCAGTTTGCTAATATATATGGGGTTAACTTTGTTGCACAACGTATAGTATCATCGCTCTCTATACTCACACTGATACTGCCACGGAGATGCCGTGATAGTAAGCTCTATTCAAATAAAAGATTAAAATCTATTCTCTAACAATAGCCTTCAAAGGTTATCTAGATAATCATGGCAGCCATTTAGCAAATTCAATGCCATTTAAAAGAGCAGCTAAGACAGTCAGACAGAATATTCCACTCCAAGGTCATAAAATGGTTAATTTTGATAGTTGCAAATAACATTTTCCAGAGGAACTATGTGACCAGCTGGCAGAAAACACCAACCGAGCAGCAAATTGTCTGTTTTAAAAGTTAAGGTGAGTGACCATTTACTTCTAGTAACCTGCCTGGCAAGTGCTCCATGCCCACAAGATTACACGGCATTATTTCAGCCTTTCACCCAGCTCTGGAAAGTGTCATTGATTTATAAGTAAGAGCATGAACCCCCAAACTTTTTTATTAAAAAAAGAAAATATTGAAGGGACTACAAGTGAGAAAATGACGACATGCATCAATTTAAAAGTTCAGGATCATTTGCTGCAGAAATTACACCTGCACAAATTTGGTTTAATGGACGCATATAAGGCAGAGACAGTATTTTAATCAGACAGACAGAAGGAAAAATCTCAGAATTTTCTGCAAAATTACAGACTGCTGACAAATCTGAACCACAGTGATTCCGCGATAGCCATCCATAAACTCAGCAGATCAGCACAAATGACAACCGAGTGGTTTTTGTGCCTTGAAACCCGTGAAATCGTGATTTTTATTTAACTGAGTACACAATAAATTTAGATTAAGTTTGCAGAAATGGCAGACGAGTTCCAAATGAAGAAACGTGTAGAAATTCCTATTTCTATAACTCTTCCAAAAAACACACTACAAGCTAGGAGTAGGAAGATGGTGGTGTACTTTGCTGAAAAGCCTCAATACACACGCTCCCACAAAACAGGAACCCTGCAAATACTGACCCTTAAAGTGAAGCCATTACAAGATCCCTCCCTTTTGGATGATTTTGCTGCTATCAACAATAAAATTAGTCCGATACGCCATACTGAACTGTCAATTATTGCCATGGTGAGCAATTCATTTCCAGGTAACTCAAGAGGCCCTGCAAATCCCGACGAGGACACTAAGAGGAGGGGACAGGTCCTCCCCGCTGGGTCACAGCACCAGCCCCGCACCAACAGCTCTTCTGGGGATGGACGTAGGCGGTCTGTCGCCACACCACCTACAAAGGCACATCTGGGTTCCCCACGCAGAGCCTGCACATAAAATACTCAACAGTTCTCCTGCTCTGCCTGTATTGGCGCCCTGTGATACCACTTTTCTGCGTCTTCAGCATGTTTATGGGAGAAATTTTAGTGCAATACCAGGAATAATTGAGTTGCCTAAGCAGGCCAGACCCACTGCACCACATCTCACAGTAAACTGCAGGGGCATCAGTTAGAAGTGGCACGTGGAAGCAGGAATAACCCACGGGAACTGAATCCTAATGCCAGCTTGCTTCACTGCTCCGTCATTATTCCAGCACGAATAAAGAACAAAGGATGCAAAGATAAATTCCATTGTTTTATCCGTGACTAAACCTCCAGGTGGTTGTGCTTATGTTAATGTCTGATGCTGAACTGTAGCTCTTCTGTTTCCCTGCAAAGAATTAAGGATAAAAGTTTTTTTCATATGTGCTGACACTGGCCTTTGTGTTCCAGTGGGAATTTAATCGCAGCTTTAGCGGGAGCTTTAAAAGCTGCCGAGCACTTTTGAAAATACCCCTGTAAGTACTTAGCCACAATTGCTTTTGGTATAAATAAGCAAAATATTTACTTACAGAGCATAAACTCAAAAACATGCTGTGGCAACTAAATAAATCCGGTAATCCACTCTGAATACAAAGACTGATTTCAAGCCATCAAAGCCTGTCAAAATGCATTTACCGGGTTGAACATTCTTATAATATTAACCATCATTTTTCATTGTAAGCCACCTACTCATAAGCTTTAATAGATGAAATAGATGATCCTAGATAAATAAGATTTTGCTATAGGGAAGAAAGGAAATTATTAAGTTTCGTTTCAAATATCTGATGTGTTCAGTTATGAAGATTCACAATTATTATGAAAATGGTTCAGTTATCAGAATTTCTCTACTAAACTTTATTTATATAGAACTCATCAGTATAACATGCAGAGAGAAAAATCAACACATAAGGATAGTATGTTTATGGAAGAATATTTTCATTTTCCTGGAGTAGACTAATAACTTCGCATTACACTTGACAATGTTTATAAGCATATTCTTCCTCTCAGAAAGATACAGAAGAGTTAAACTATTCTTGCAATGGAAACAAAATTACCTAAAAAGCACTTAGAAGTCAGGGAAGAAGACAAGGCAGGCAGGCCGTGATCCTGTACCACCATCCGTGCTGCTGCACACCCAGACCATGGAAGCGAGGGCATTTTGACGAGGTTTATCTAGAAATGAGAGTTCCGTACTAGGCTTTTGTGTGATCTGTGCTCAATTTCCAATAGCACTGATTTTATAAAAGGGTCCT